AACAGATTACTCTTAACTTCTTGAGTCTCATATTCCCTCCAGCTTTCTGATTTCACCTCCTAGTTCCTAACGCTGATTGTGGCACTTTTCCACTGAGTTCTTGGCATCCCCTTATCAGACAGCCAGTATTTATCCTTGGTATCACTCTTCGGTTCTAGTCTTGCCACTTCTATTCTGTATGATGTTTACCTGTCTGCTCCACTGCTGACTCCAGACGTCTTTGTGGTGCTGGTCTTCTAATTCCCATCTCAGTCGGAGTATAAGCAAAAAAACAGTCAACATTCTTTTTATTCCAATGATTTATCTCTTAGGACGTATCTAATTCTTAATGTTTGATCCCGAGACAAACATGAGATTGAGACACCCAGACATGTTTTTATCCCATGCCTCAGTGGCAATCAGTGCTCTTGGAATTACTAAATGGGATGGCGCAAAGGCACAAAATTCCAGAGCCTCAGGAAAAGCACCGTAGTCACGGTATCAGATCACCTGGCGTGCTGTGAAATTCACAATCAGCATTGTTTTCGGATTCAGGAAAGTGGTGTTCTTCCCCAACTGTATCTATTTTCCCAAGACTAGGAGGAGAATCTGCATTTGGACTTGCCTGTTGACAGTGAAAAGGTGGGTGATAACAGCTTCTCTGTACACACTCCACCCACCCCTCAGGTAACTGAATGGCCTGAACTTCTCTGGGCCATTAAAAAAAAACAAAAACAAAAACAAAATCTTGGGGCGCCTGGCTGGTTAAGTTGGTTAAGCATCTGCCATTGGTTCAAGTCATGTTCCCAGGGTCCTGGGATTGAGTCCCACATAGGGCTCCTTGCTCGCCAGGGAACCTGCTGCTCCCCATGTTTGTGAGTGCCCTCTCTCTCTATAATAAATAAATAAGGCTTTAAAGAAAAATCTTATTTCAACTATATAAACTTATAATTGTAACGTTAAAAACACTGACCTTTGGAGATTTTAAATCTCAAAATTGATGTCACATCTATTTTTACAAACTGAAAAAAGTATTTAAAGTGTATATATGTCACTATATATTATATATACTCATATACACATGAACATTTTTTTAATTTCTTTTCAGTGTTCCAGAATTCATTGTTTATGCACCCACCCAATACTTCATGCAATATGTGCCCTCCATAATACCCACCACCAGGCTCACCCAACCTCCCACCCCCCTCTGAAACCCTCAGTTTATTTATTATTATGATATAGATATGACAGTAAAACAATGAAAATAGTTTCTAAGAAGCCAAGAATCACTGTAACTTGGAGTCATTGACAGTAGATTTAGATAGCCCTACTTAACTTAAAAATTCCCAATTATACCATGGTTAAAAGTGTAACACTAAGTATTTTGTTATAATGATGTTGACAATTCAATTTTTTTGAATTCAAAAATTCAGATTTTTATCTGAATTATTTTCAGTAACTCCTCTTAAAAAGGTAAAACAGACATATAAAAATTTATGGACTTATGATCTAAAATATTTAAATAGGAACTTCCCTGGCAATAGAACATAGCTGTACTTATGTGGATTCATTCCAATCCATTACAAAACAAAACAAACAAAAAAACCACAAGATTCTTACAGATAGCTATTTAAGTAGGGACTTATCATGACCCTCTGAGTGTCCCATGAGACCTGATCTGTGTCATAGTCATCATTGTGCCATCAATAACTTGTGTAATAACTGAAACTCAACTCCTTCCAGGAAATCTCTATAGCCTCGTCCTCTTGGATAGAGTACCATGGACTCAAACTTCATATTTTGTCAGGTAGAATTATTACTCAGTTTCGAGTAGTGGGCCTTAAGAAGCATTCTGTTCTCACTCGGAACCCTAGGGTAGACTTAATTTCTCCCAACCCCGGTCATCCCAGCCCTGGCTTCCTTCTCAATAGTGAGTACCAAGAGTGCCTCACAGCTGTGCTCCTTCAACATCTAACAATTCTCTCCTCTAAAATTTGCATCACCCAAATTGCTACCACCTCTGGGAAACTGTATGAGGCACTTTCAGCAGTTCATTCTAGGCCCCTGGAGTTCCTCTCAGGGAGATAATGAAGATATGTGTCAAAGTTAAATGAGAGTAAAACCCCAAGGGGTGAGAGCAAATGCAGTCATTTAGAGTGATAGAAATGACAAAGGCTCTAATATAGGGACACAATGCCTAGGGCACTGGATGATATAAATATAGGGAGGATCTGGGAGGGGAAAAAAAAAAACTGCGACAGGGTAAGACTTTGGTCAAAAGAAAAATAATAATAGAAACATAAAACACAACAACAGATGGTTACTGCCAAAGGTGATGAAGATGCCCTCCGATCAATGATGATGGGAATACTCAGAACCTGTTATTCATCTGAAGTAAAAAGTGACAAATCAGAACACCCTTGTTATTACTGTAACCTTCCGCAAGATGGTATGGAAAGGAGTACAGACATCAGGTTGGCTAAACCAGAAGCAAAGAGGAAAAGATGGAGGTTTGAGTGAGATGAAACATGTGTGAGGATATATTTAGAAGAGTAAATTTTAATTGTTTCCATTGAGCAAATCTTGTTTTCCCAACTAGACTGCCAGATCCTACAGGACAGGGACAACATCTTGTAAGTGTTTGAAAACACAGCACATACAAAATCATGTCCAACTTGTCTAAACAAGAGAAAACAAATTTGTCTAAAGTCACAGAGGTGGTATATGTCAGAACACTTTGACACTAGAGTTCTAATGCCTTGTCTACATCAAATGTGTACTTTTTTGTATGATACACATTTGATATATGCTTCATTCTTAGCTTCATTTTAAATTTCTTCTGTTTTCTATTCTTGTTCTTATCCATTCATAATATCTTATGTTGTTACAGTCTGTGAATCTCTATAAGACATACTATGTCCTTTCAGGTACAAAGCAGTTAAATGAATCAAGAATGTTATTTACGTGACTCTCTCTCTCTCTCTCTCTCTCTCTCTCTCACACACACACACACACACATACACACACATATGCACGCACTTACCCTTAGGTGGAATGATTTGTGCTTTGTAGTTATAGGTTGGTTGACCTGCCCTTCAATCTCTGGGAATTCTGAAAGACAAAATTCTATCTTTCCACATTGCTTAATAAATAAATTACTTAGGAACCTAAGCAAATGGAAACCCCTATTAAAATCTGGAGTCTCTCTACTATCCTTCTTTTTCATATCATCTCCCCTTAATACTTTCTTAGTTGACCACTTCCTGTGGGTATCTCCTTTCCCACCAAGTCTCCACTCCCTCACACCAATTTGGAGGACTCAAAATGAAGGCAGAGGCACCCCCTTGGGTTTTAAGTCAAGTGTTTCTGTTATTTACTGCAGTTTCATTTCTTTTGATCATTGGGAGACATGTTGGCATATGGGAATGGAAATTTAGATTGAGTAACTTTCAGCAATGTCAAATGAGCTATTAACAGAACCAAATTCTATGGTGCCCTAGTTGCTTTTGGAATATGGCTTTCAGTGTCTCAGCACAAGATGACCTCAGATTTTGATGGAAGTCTACCAATAAAAAATAAATAGGAAATAATAAAAATGACATACTGAGGAATTTAAAATTATAAATACCTGCAAATTCACCTCAAAGAGGATTAATCAATCATTAAATAATTAATGAAGACTTAATGTTTTGTCAGAACTGTCCTATGCACAGATGCGAATGAAGGAACAGGGAAACTTTAAGTCTTAATTGTTGAAATCATGTAGATATATGAAATGTTGCATAAAAAAGGGTGACAGGAGGAAAAATGGAAGTGCTAATGTACATGGTAAAATTTATATGCATAAATACATATGTGTAAACATATATATTTACATCTATGGGTCTCATTACTCTAGAAAGTGATGTAAAATGAAAGTATTAATACTTTTGTAATGTAACACTGGGACAATCAGGGACTGGGGTACACAAGTCCTCGATCCAGCCCCAGTTTAGCCACCAATAAACTCTGTGGCTGGGAAATTCATGTCTAGGTCTAGTTCTTCACCTGTGAAATAAGGCAAATTGGATTATTTTTAAACTGGAAGATATGTTATGTTATGTTGTGTTATGTTATGGAATATATAATACATTTCTTGATATTAAACACTGACTTACTTATCAAAAGAAATTAGAAATATTTGAGTTGTTCCTACATTGAGAGGTGGTATTAACAGAGGCAATGGTGGTATCCTCCAAGTGTCCTTTAATAAACTGAGAGATAGCCCTGGAAAGAAGGGCAATGGAGTCAAGTTCAAGAAGGATATTTTAGGGGGTGCCTGGATGGCTCAGTGGTTTAAAGCCTCTGCCTATGGCTCAGGTCGTGATCCCAGGGTCCTGGGATTGAGCCCCACATCAGGCTCTCTGCTCCATGGGGAGCCTGCTTCCTCCTCTCTCTCTCTCTCTCTGCCTGCCTCTCTGCCTGCTTGTGACCTCTGTCAAGTAAATAAATAAAATCTTTAAAAAAAAAAAAAAAAAAAGAAGGAGGATATTTTAGGGGCATCTGGGAGGCTCAGTGGGTTAAACCCTTGCCTTTGGCTCAGATCATGATCTCAATATCCTGGGATCTAATACTGGTAATACTGACAAGTATAGCCCACAGGAGCAAAAGGCGTTGGGGTTGTCAGTAGCTTTTAAGAGTAGAAAGGAGGGGGCACCTGGGGGGGTTCAGTGGGTTGAGCCTCTGCATTCAGCTCAGGTCATGATCCCAGGGTCCTGGGATCCAGCCCCACATTGGACTCTCTGCTCAGCAGGGAGCCTGCTTCCTCCTCTCTCTCTGCCTGCTTCTCTGCCTACTTGTGATCTATCTCTATGTCAAATAAATAAAATATTCTTTTTAAAAAAAGGATATTTTAAAGCATGCATATTTTGAAAAAAATATGAACAACAGTATAAGGGAAAAACCATACTGTTGGATTAGAATTTTTATAACATTTCTTCACTGTCTTTTACAGCGACAATGCATAATACATTGACAAAGTCTCCAGGATTTGAAGCTAGACCCAAACCCAGCTCTAGCATTTATTAGCTACTGCACTTCGAACAAGTTAACCTCTTTAGGAATCAATGATCTTACCAGAGAAGCACAGGTAAGATTATCATCTAAATCATTCTTGTGAGAGGAAAATTAAGTAAAACAAGTATTCAACAAAGTATAAACATTCTGACACTTGTACTTACCAGATCTGGAAAAATAAATAGAATGCTTATTACTGAATTGGAAGAGGCATCACCACAACCTGGAAAACTTGGTTGTTATAACTACCTTTAAAAAGCTAGCATACTAGTACCAGCAGATCACCATTTAAATGCAATCTAAACTTTCTTCCTAAAATTAACATTACACAAAAGGTAGACATCAAGGACAGTGAATGTAGTCTTCACTTTATTTTTTTTTTTTAAGATTTTATTTATTTGATGGAGAGACACACAGAGGGAACACAAGCAGAGGAAGTGGGAGAGGGAGAAGCAGGCTTCCCACCTAGATGAGAGCCCCTTGTAGGGCTAGATCCCAGAACCCTGGGATCATGACCTGAGCCTAAAGTAGACGCTGAAAGACTGAGCCACACAGGGCCCCCCTAGCCTTCACTTTAATCCATCTTTCTGGGAGGAGAAATCTCCATGGTTGGTCCTATCCACATTCTTTGTCTGGCCTATGGACTGTGCTTTACTGTCCTCCTTAATGCACAGGTACAGGTGATTTCTTCATCTAAAAGTCTGCAAGGTTGTTTTTTTTCTTTTCTTTTCTTTTCTTTTCTTTTCTTTTCTTTTCCTGTCAAACTCTTTGAGGGCATTGGGCTGACAGTTCTGGGTCGGACTGAGTTTAATCTTTTCCTTTCAAATCAAATTATGGGGAAAATGCCAGGGAAATGGCTCCCTAACAGCTGGCATTGTTCAGAAATCACGGAGCTTGGTGAATTTGTAAGATAAGTGTCTAAATTGTGGAGAAAGGCAGACAGCTTCCCCTCTTGGGCTGATATCTAAGCAACTAATGACTAAATGACTCCATTTTGCTCTCCACACAATGGCCTGTCCCGGAAGACTTAAGAGGCTCTTGGGGGTTCAGTGGCCTCTCCAAAAATCAGTCTGCCTAAAAGCTGATTTGGGGTCTTCCCCACTGCCTTGGCTCCCTATTTGGTAATTTTATAACCTTTAAAACTAGTAAGAATAGGTGAGGGTAGATACCTGCCTTGAGTAATGTGAAATCCACTGGAACCTCCCTATCAAGACACGAAGAAAAATGGCTAAGGAAATAGAAAGCACTAGTAGAACAAAAGCCAAAAAGGGAGAAACAACTTTTAAAATATTATTGGAGAGGCACCACATTCACATTAAATACTAAAATATTAAAATTGATTGAGGTTGTGAAATAAGTGAATTACTTAGTCTCCCATGCATTAAAATTAATTTTTCATCTCCTTCTCCAGGCCACTTCCCACTGGCTTTCGTTGAGCCCTCTTAATATTTTATTTGCTGAAGGGAAAAGGTTTCCTTTTGACATATTGGCATTCCTGGAGTTGGTTGACTATCTCACTGCCAACTCCATGAGAAGATTTCTCAGTCCTAGTGAAGCAACAATAAAGAATAAAAAAATTGCTATACTTCCTAAACTTGGCACATTTTTTAACCAGACCCTCCCCTAAAGACTTAATCCACGGGGCCATTCCCTTTGCATGTTACATTCCCACCTTTCTAACTCTCTTCAAACCTTCCCAACCATTAGTCTGTTGGTAATTTACCTAAAGAAAAAAAAAGAAAGAAAGAAAAAAAAAAACTGAAAAGACAATTTGAGGTCACGATATTTGAGCTGCCCAAACCAGTTTTTACATTTCTTTATTTGGAGCTCTGGGGTAGGCATTGTCTCTTTGGGGATTTAGAGCAGCCGAGGCTTGGTGGTCTCTGAATTCTGGAGCTCGCGAACAAATATGGCAGACCCTCTGTAGTTAGGAGGTGAATTCAAAGGTGGTACACTGGTATCAAAAGTGGAGTGGATAAATGGTCCAGAGAAGGCAAACAGGGCTCAAATCACTGAGATGGGCTTTGGAGACTTACTAGGATAGTAATCATAAAAACCTCCAAGTTTCTGGTCTCATACTCACAAGCTAAATTTGGACTCTTTGCTCTAGTGAAAGTTTACACACATGAGGAAAGAGGTAAGATAAGGAACAAAGTCTCTTCAGAAAGAAGTAGGATTCCAAACTCTCCATCATTCCCAAAAGTTCCCTTCTTCATGGCCATGAGAGTACAGTAATGCTTTTGTGCAGTGTGGTCATACAGAGTTAGATCAAGAGAGGAATGGTGACCCTGATCTAGTCTAAAATCCTCTTTCCAAATGTGATATAACTGCAACAAATGGAAGGGACCTGACTTGCCCCAGTCAATACAGAGTTAATCCCTGAGCCCTCAGTGTTTCCCAGATGCCAAATCCAGGACCTTTGCACCAATCATTTTTAGGGCATCTGGTGGTAGGAATTTGTCGTTTTATTCTTAAGGTTCATTCTTCTTTTCTTAGGTCACTCAAGAGGAGGGGCTAAGGCAGAAGCGATGCTTTTTCTGGTCACTTGAGTCCAGAGAAGATGGTATAGATATATTATCTATTCATAACAGTAATAGTCTTGACTTGGTTCAGTATTCAGACTAAAACTTTAGTTATAAAGCAAGTAACTATTCTTGTACATACAAAATTATCAGTATGTTAGTTAAATCCTGTGGTGCTCATTGGAGAAGAATCAGAAGTCATCAGCCCCTTCATCCGTCAGGGAATGTTGACCCAATTCCATTATTTATACAAAGTCACACTATAGGCCAGTCACAGGGTACAGGACTCAGCTGCCACATTGCTAGTAGTGTGCTCTGTCTTCTGTCCCCAAAAGCAATTAGATATATTGTATAATTCATTTCATGAAGGACATCAATTAAATGGAAGTTTTCCCAATCTTCAACAGAAGGGAACCCTAACCCATGTCATGGTGACAGTGGTTACAAGAATCAAGAGAAATTCCATAACAATAACAAAAAATATACTAAAAAGAGCTAAACACATTTTTGTGAAGCAGAAATTTTCAAAGCCTTTAATATCTTCTTAAGCTTTACAAACATTTAAGAGGGATATATACTAAGTCTGTCACAAACATATGTGACCCTGGAAATCAACTAAGGAGCATTTCAAGTGAATGTTAAGACCCAGAATGCAGCATAGGAAACCAGTTTAGTTAGTGTGCATGGCATCTCACTATTCTCCCTCAGAGTTGCCAGATTATCAGGTAGGAACAGGGAGCCAAAGGATAATCCTCTCAACCACCAATCCCCTTTTGAAGTCTACAGTGAAGATCTCCCAGTTTTCAAGGTTTCAACAATCAATTCATTGTGAATGTGCTAAAAAAATCACAATATGTAATTTCTCTTCTCAGATCAGATCTTCACTAAATCTCTTAACCTGTCCACAACCCAGCTGTGATCTATTTTTTTTCACCATCAATTGCAATCATAGCCCTTGTTCTTATCACACTTGTACATTTTTGTTCCCATAATGACCATGGCTCTTTTAAGATCTTGTCTTTGCTTATACTGTTCTTCTTATCTGTAACGAATTGTTTTCTTCTTCCTCTCAGTCTAGTACAATCTTCATTGAGGTGACCTTCTACCCTATCTCTTCTCTAAGTCATCAGCATCCCCAATGCAGAAGTGAGTTTCTTTTGCTATAAGTGTTCATGGTATCGTTTACTTTCTGCCTTGTTTTGTTAGTTATATTTTCACAGGTTTGTGTTTCATCTGCCTATTTCAGTTATAAATTATTTTATTCATCTTTTTTTCTCTATCAACATGAAGCTTGATGTCTGGCATTTAAAGCACTTCAAGTAATTGTTAAGGTTAAATGAAACATAGGAGCTGAAGTTCTATCAATAGATTTAGATCAGATTAGAGAACGCCTTTAAAGCCATATAGAAGACTTTGGACTTAATCTGATGAACAGAGATGTTCTGGGTTTCTTCTTAAAGAGAAGAGGTATGAAAAAAAGACAGCCTCATCCCTAGTTGGATAAGCGATGTAGCTTGGTGGTCGTGGGTAAGTATTCTGAATCATACTTCCTAGGTCTGAGTCTCAGCTCTGTTCCTTCTACCAATGTGAAAGTCACTAAGCTCTGTGGCTCTCAGTTTCCTCATCTATAAAATTAGAATACATTACTCCTGTAATCATTGTGAGGTTTGGTTGAAGTAATCCATGAAAAGCCCGAAGAGCAATGCTTAGTACTTAGTGAGCCCTCAAGAAACAGTAGCTAACATTACAACTACCCAAATGGAGAGGTGAAAAGAGCATTGGTCTGAGTATTAGGAGACCTGGGCCTTGCTACAGTTTGAAGAAAAGGTGCAAATGAGGTCAAGTATTGCCGGTAGAGGGGCTTGACAGGTATTCAAGAAAAGTGAGCATGTGTTTCGTGAATTTACCATTCTCTACACCCTAGGCTTACAGGCTTGAAGTCAGATGTGTAGCACAACGAATGCATTAATCAAGCTTACTGAGACAGTCTATAAACACAGAAGCCCAATTCATTAATTTACAATGAGAAATATAACTATTAAGTAGAAGGGATGTCAGTGTTTATGGATAAGCATGTTCTCTCCTGCGGACAAGTATATGCTGGAAGCCAAATCATAATCCTAGAATTGTTTGATGAAAGTGAAACAGCAGGAGAGAAAGAGGGTGACCTCAAGATATAATCAGGTTCATAGCCAGAGGTATCCCACTCTGCTACAGACACGTACCTATCACTCCAGAGATGCCAAAACACATTCCACATCTCTTTCTTCTAGGGACACAGAACACTACATTGCCCTAGCTTCTGATAGGTGCCATGCATACCATTGTTTCTTTGTTACAATGCAATCATTTGGATGGATGTTTCTAAGTGCAATCAACATTTATCTGAAGTTCTGCCTGAATGCTATGATTGAATTCTTGATATTCATAGATCATTTTTTTAGGACAGTTTTAAGATAGCTATCTTCTCCTTAAACTTTTCTGGTGAGCCTCTGGCTTCCCTGAGAGACTTGGCAGAAGGGATTTCTCTATCCCTTCCACTTCGAGTCTT